CACGATTTTGATGAAGAAAAATTAATCAATTGAAGAGGTTTGGTTTGCTCCAATTTTTTTGGAGTTAAATATATATATCCGATTTTAATTCAAGTTTGGTTAAGTATGATAAATATCTTTAAGTATGATAAAAATATTTATCACGATTTTAATTAAGAAAAATTAATCAATTGAAGAGTTTTGGTTTGGTTTTCACGATTTTTTGAAGAGTTTGGTGTGTCAATGCCATGTCACATTAAAATTGTGAGAATGAATTTAGTGATGACACATAAGTTCTTTTCAAAAAATTGCTCTCCAATTAATATATATGGGATGTTGTTATCGCTATTTCTTTTTGATTAATGAATCCGGGAGGATAAAGAAGGAAAATTAAACTCGATTAAGGAAATAAATTACCGCTAAACTTTTTTCCTTTCCTCAATTCACATATCTGGGCTTACTATAAATTGCAAGGCTTAAAATATAAGAGTTGGGCTTTTGAATGTTACGAGGCCCATTAAACTATTTTTTCTCCCTAACCTGTGGAGTCTGTGTGACTACTACCGAGACAATTTTTCTTTCTCAAGATAATGATAACTTGCTATAAAGTTTATTGAAATGTTACTTTGATACAAAAGAAACTTAACTAGAAAAATTATCGGTGTCACGGATAATCTTCATCGAAGGAAGAACAATTGCAGCCACTGGTTTGTCCGGGTATCCACCGCCTTCATCGATGATCAATCTCAGGCCATCCATATGAAGTTTCCCGTGGTGCCCGCTCACTACAACAGTCTGTTTATCATCTAGTTCCTGAAAAATGTTTCAGAACAGAAACAAAAGCATAAATGAGACTTCAAAACTGAGCAAGATGTTAACACAAAGTTTGATTCTTTCGATGATTAATTTAACCTGTGGGATGTCCCAAACGTTTTTCCGACCACTTAGATATGGTATTTTTGAGATGCTTGTGTCTTTAGTTCTCAAAAGCTTGAGTTGTTCATCTACACTATTCCCTTTCTCCAAACCAGCATGTACCGCAATCAACTTACAATGCTTTAGCCCTTCTTCAGTTTCTATACAAACATCATCCTACAAGAAAACCAATTAATGGACACATGATAGCTAATACTACACAATTGTCCTGCAAATTAAGCTAATGCCCCGCTAAAATAGAAAATGGACTGTAACTTTCTAATGGGTTGCAAGAGATCGATCGGCAAGTCCAAAGTTCGAGTTTTTATGGTATTATAATCACTCAACTACTGTTCCAACAAACAATTCACCGGATAAAATGGTAAGAGAAAGAGCCTTTACCTCTTCATGGACCCATACCATATTGGTCAAGAACTTCTTGTGACTCTCTGGTACAACCTTCATCAAATCTATCAAGCAAACAAGTTTCATAACCAATAACAAAAGATCCCAAACAATTTTGACATGCAGATAAGTTCATCACTAGAACAATGAGAACTTAAATCGAAAAAAGATTCAATTTTTGGTTAACCACATTGCTCTAAATTGAAATTATGAACAGATCCAATCATTGCCTAATCACCAAATTCACAAGACCGTTTGAAAGTAATTCACTGTTCCATTAATTATAGCTAGCGAGAAGAACCAAACCAAAAACACATCAATGGAGAATTTTTTTTTTTTACCAGAAGATCCATGAGGAACACCATACGATTCAAAAGTCGACCCAGCATCGTAAATCGATCCTTTATAAGCCATCCCTTTCACGGAATTGAATTGAGCCTTAATTTTACCAGCCCATCTCCTACCTTGGAGATGCATATCCTCGAACCCTTCACCTTTATACCATCCTTCTCTCTCTTCGCTATCTTCAAATTCCTTCCACGTATCCTTCAAATCGGACCCATCTGAAGGACGAGGCAACAAACCCAAGAACCCAGCGAAGGCGAAGTCGTGGTTTCCGGCGAGAAAGACGTGTGTCTGGTCGGGATGTTTCTCCGGCAGAGAGATTAAAAAGTCGATGACTTTACGGGTCTCCGGTCCACGATCGCAGTAGTCGCCGAGGAAGATGACGAGAGCTGAGTCGAAATCTGATGGGTCGAGAGCGGAATGAAGATTAGACCAGAGGCTATTGAGTTTCGAAATGTATCCATGGATGTCTCCGACGCAGATCACCGTTGGTTGTTTTTGCGTCATTTTAGTCTCTCTGTTTCTTGAAATGATAAAGCACTTGTGGGTTGTGGTGGCTCTGTAGCTACTTATATACGTGTTAAAAATAATATTCATTCTGTTTCAAAACATAACATATTTTAGGTAAAAACATAAAAATTCAGAAAAAGCATCATTCTTTAACTAGCTAAACTTGTGAAATCTTGAGTGAGCCAGAGTATAAGATAAAATAGCATTGAGAATCTGGGAGAGATTAAGGAATTCTTAAAAGTAAAAAAAAACATGTAAAACTTTAATTAGAAAAATCATCTGTGTCGCGGATAATCGTCTTAGAAGGAAGAACAATTGAAGCCAAAGGTACATCCGAGTATCCACCGCTTTCGTCGATGATCAATCTCAAGCCATCGATGTGAAGTTTTCCGTGGTGACCGCTAACTATAACAATCTGTTTATCATCCAGTCCCTGAAGAATGTTTTCACCGAAAAAAAATATGAAGCATTTTAAAACCGAGCAAGATCTTACTTAACAAATTTTGGTTCTTTTGATGTTTTATTTACCTGTGGAATGTTCCAAACGTTTTTCCGGCCACTTAGAGGTTGTATTTTCGAGATGCTTGTGTCTTTAGCTCTCAAAAGCTCGAGTTGTTCCTTAACGCTCTTCCCTTTCTCCAAACCAGCATGTACCGCAATCAACTTGCACTGCTTTAGCCCTTCCTCTGTTTCTATACAAACATCGTCCTACAAGAGAATCAACAAATGTACACATGATAGCTTTTTACTACACACACGATTGTCCCACGAAAATAGGCTTCGAACGACTAATATGACATCCTTTGTCAGAATTAGCATGGCTGCAACTTTCTAATAGTTTGCAAGAGATTGATCAATAAGTCCAAAGTTGGAGTTTTTATGATTTTCTACCACTCAACTACTTTCTAAGTATCTATTCCCACAATTAAACTTGTAGGAGATAACTACAAACCGAAGTTGCCTTTACCTATTCGTGGACCCATACCATATCGGTCAAAAACTTGTTGTGACTCTCTGGTACAGCCTCCATCAAATCTATATCAAATAACACAAAACATAACAAAGTTTTAGAACCCAAACCAAAAAATCCCAACACAATTATTAAGTCCACCAGCAGAAAGAGTAGAACTTTGGAAACTCGAAATCAGGAAAGATTATATTTCTCCTCTATAGTCTATAATGTAAAACATTTTTACCTGAAGATCCATGAAGAACACCATACGATTCAAAAGTCGATCCAGCGTCGTAAATCGATCCATTATAGACCACACCAATCTCGGAATCGAATTGAGCCTTAATTTTACCAGCCCATCTCCTACCTTGGAGATGCATAGACTCGAACCCTTCACCTTTATACCACCCTTCTCTCTCCTCGCTTTTCTCGAACTCATTCCACGTATCCTTCAAATCCGACCCATCTAAAGGACGTGGCAACAAACCCAGAAACCCAGCGAAAGCGAAGTCGTGATTTCCGGCGAGAAAAACGTGTGTCTGGTCGGGATGTTTCTCCGGCAGAGAGATCAAAAAGTCGATGACTTTTTTGGTTTCTGGTCCACGATCGCAGTAATCGCCGAGGAAGATGACGAGAGCTGAGTTAAAATCTGATGGGTTTAGAGCGGATTGAAGATTAAGCCAGAGCTTATTGAGCTTGGATATGTGTCCATGGATGTCTCCGACGCAGATCACCGTTCGTGGGTTTTGCGCCATTTTAGTCTCCTTTGACTTTTCAATGACTATCAAATATCAATCCAAAAAAATCCTAAAACGGTGTCGTTTTCAAAGTCCTTGGCACGAAACGGTAAAAAAAAATGACAGCTGTCTGATTTCACAAGTAAGTCATCTATCTAACCATCAAAATAATGCCACGTGTAATCACTCGAATCGTACGGTTGACAAACATTCCTTTGACATGGCACTTTTCATGATCTATTCAAAAAGACCAAAAGCCTATTAATAATAAAGACGAGAAAAGTGAACACAAAGTCAAAAAGGAAACAGAGAGAAAGACTTGATTTTGGATCGTATCAATGTCGGAAGAGAAGAGCTTCAAGTACGTGATCATTGGAGGTGGTGTTGCTTCAGTAAGTCTCTCTGACTTTTCCATCTTTAACAGTTTCGCTTCTTGGTGTGCTCGATTTGGGGGGATATGTTCTTGTTTGCTTTAAGACTCGGTCAAATTTGTTCTGTTTCTCTAGATCTCTACTTTGATATTTGCTCTAAATTTTCAATCTTTGCACATAAAGAATCAGTAGTTTATAAGATCGTGAATTAATACAGGGATATGCAGCGAAAGAGTTTGTGAATCAAGGTGTAAATCCTGGTGAACTCGCCATCGTTTCCAAGGAATCGGTATGTTTTTACTCTCTTTATTTAACATTTGAAGTAGCTATTTTGGAAAAAGAGGGAAATATATACACTAAATGGTAAGTAAAAGCAAAAGCAAACAAATAATTTCAGGCCTTACTTTGATCTCTACTTAGCTAGCTTGAGAACAATGCCATATATTTAAGCATCCTCTTCTGTATACTCTTTGGTTCGAGTCTATATGATTCTTAATTTAGTCAGTTATGTATGTTTGCAGGTGCCTCCTTACGAGCGTCCTGCACTAAGCAAAGGATATATCAACCTCAAGAGTAAAATATTTTTTTTAACTCTACAACAACTTTATTAACATATATTTAACCAGAAGCTTGGTTCGTAAGAGTTATAGTTGTAATGGTTATGCAGATAAAGCTACGCTTCCGAATTTCTATGCATGTGGTGGAAGTGGAGGAGAGAGGCAATTCCCTCAATGGTACCAAGAGAAAGGTCATTTTTTTCTTTTCAATGTTTATAAGAACTGGTAGTGGTAACACAATTGCAGTTTTTGAGATCTTTAACCTCACATTTGTATAAAAATTTTGCTCCTAATTTCTTTTACAGGGATTGAGTTGATTCTTGACACAGAGATCGTCAACGCAGATCTTGCTTCGAAGACACTTGTAAGTAATGATGGACAAATCTTCAAGTACCAAACTTTGATAGTTGCAACTGGATCTACTGTGAGTACACATTCTCTCTCTGTTTTCTTCCTTTC